TGCCCATGCCCAACGTCACATGCTCCCAGGCGTTCAACCTTATAGCCTATAACCTTAAGTCTGCAAGCCTGAGCACCTTCTCGCCCCGTCCGACACCACGCAAAACTTTCTGCTTGTGAATAGGCATGTATGCTACCCGGGGCTACGGTGTAATGACCACTGCTAAGCCTTGAACTGGCCTCTTCCTTTCCATTCCCCATTCTGTACGCGCAACTATACTGGGTTGCTGTTAAGGAAAAAATTAAGTTACCATAATGGGTATATATAGTAATTAATATGGTTCCCCCAATATAGTAACTCAATTTAAGTTCCCTAGCAGCAACCCAGTATAAGACACAAGCTTTCCTGCATGATCGACTTCGACGACTTGGATGACGTGGAGGAGGTGGCTGCCACAGAAGCAGAGCGGCTGAGGCAAGGAACTCAAGGGTTCCTTTTCGGGGTTCCTTGTAATGTGGATCTTTTTCATAGGTGGATGTAGTTTCATCAGAAGATGTGAGCTGTAGCCAAAGCTCCTTTAAGTGGTTCTATAGGGGCTTATATGGGGGATTATCATGAAGGTTATTAGGGGGGATGCTAGGAGTTTAGACCCTAAACCCTAAACCCTATACTATTGGGGTTATTAAGGGGGATACTAGGAGTCAGGAGTTTAGACTACAGCTCAAATGGGATGCCTATGCCCTTGCAAAGCATTCAGAGAGCTCTCATGTGGCGTCGCAGTGTCCCAAGGTTTCTTGGCAACACGAAGCGTCCAAAACGCATTACCGCCTGGGCATATCAAGCACCCCCCCCCCTTTCTCCTTCACCCTATATTGAGGGTGATATTTTTGGTTTAGGGTAGGGCGTGTTGATTTGAAGGGGTCAGGCATTCGAAGGTTTCTCCCTCTCCGCCTCCTCGCGACAAGCTGTTGCCAGGGGCGCCAGACACTCGAAAAGACTTGAAGATGTTTTGCATTAGGTACCAACTTGCCTAAACTGAATGGTATTTACCAGCATCATATGAGCTAGAGTCTCATTTCCTTAAGCGATGGTTAACTTGGGATTATTCAGGGGAGTATTGTAGGGGTTATCAAGAGGGATACTGGGAGTTCAGACTACAGCTCATTTTTGGTCCATGGATATGTACGGCATTTACAAGGATACACAGAGATATATAGGGTAACGCAGGGATAGATCCTTGACCAATGCCCCGATACTGGATACCAACTTTTCTTCAGATTTCCAGTGTCAACCTCTTTGAAACCACATGCCCTTGAACTGTAAACCTTGGGTACTGCCCCCCCTCAGTAACAGTTGGATAACAATTATATTATAGTTATATATAGCCCTTAATATGACCCTACCCTAAACCCTAAACCCTGAACCCTAATATAGACTGTTAATGGGTGGGGGGTCCACCTAATGTAAACCCTTGATAGCTGGTAGCCTGTTCCCCGCCACCTTACAGCTCAATGCCAACCGCAGCCCAAACCTCGCTGTTCCACAGCGCTCCCAGTATAGATGTAGAGCTATAGTCTAAAGTCCTTAAAGGGGGTTATATAGGGGGTTATATAGGGACTACTATAGGAGGTATTAAGGGGGATACTAGGAGTTTAGACTATGGCTCATGTAGAGCTTGTGTGCGAAATCTGCGAAAGCCTTTAACTTGTCATCCTTCATGTTTGGAATGCAGGGAAGCTGCTGAAGAGAAGCAGTTGGAGGAGGCGTGGAAGTCCACGAAGCATGGTTTAGGCTAGAGGGCTTACTTACCGGTTCTTGTCTAAGGACTTTAGGAGGGACCCCTAATAGGGACCCTTGTAGCTTACGGGGGTTAATATGGGGACTACCTAGGGATGTAGG